CATGCAGGATGTTTAGTACTCGGACTCAACTAGCCTACATCCCCTGCCCTTTCACATGCAGAGGTTATTGCCATGGTTGCCAAGAAATTTGAGGAGCATGGACTAGCAATCCCTGCAAGAAGGCAAGGATTTGTGGCTTAGGGTTTAGGGTACCTGCAACTCTGGTTACCTATAGTCTAGTGGTAATCACTCCCAATTTAATGGGCATAAATCATAAAGGTGTAGGTTTGGGGGTTAGGGTTTCTTTAGGCTGGGGGTGTAAGGTTGAGGGGTTTATCGGGGTGTAGGATGGTTTTTGTTTTCCGGTCCAGCTGTTTTTTGTTTCTTTCAGTTTGCCCTTGTGGTTTAAGACCATTGGAGTTTCTGTAGAGGGTTTGTTGCTCACTGGTGCGTTTTGGGTATCTCTACAGCAAGGAGGCCTTTGAGGAGAGTAGAAGAGAGCCAAAACAATTAGGGGAAAGTATCCAGACGCGTGTGCACAATACTCAAAGTTTCTGCCCGGTCCCCATGCCTATAATTATAATCTTGCCTTGACGGTAAGAGTTGCATATTGGGTAATGTGCCCGTCTTTTTGCGCAGAACACACGCTGCGCAGGCCTCTGCGTTCCGAGGTGCCAGACTAGTTTAGGTCTAGCAGGTATCATATGAAAACAGACGTCACTGGGTTGCTGTTAAGCAAGTTAAGTTGCCGTATAGAGCTTGGCAAAACGCATGTTTACACAAGTTATTCAATGTATTTCATGGTACCTCAATGTAGCTGCCCAATTCACAGCAAACCAGACTACAGAGCTTGTTCCAGAGTTGAACAACGCTTGCACCAGGTTTCTAGCGTTGATTTAGTTTTGTTTAATTTTTGTCAATGTAAGTCCAGGGATTTTTTGGATTGGATCTGGAAATCACCGCTTTGTTAGATACGAGCCCGAATGGTCTGTTCGTTGAACTGCCTGGGGCTCCTCAATCTGCAAACCCATAATCCCTACTGTTGATACTAAAATTCCTGCATGACCTTAGTACACAAAAATACCATTATTCCCAAGATTTAGGGGTACTTAGGGTCATGCAGGATTGTCAGTATCCTGCGTACCGGCGACCCAAATGCTAGTAGTCCCCAGATATTCCGGTCCCAAGGGCCGTCCATTGTTGAGAATTTTCACCTCTAGCCTCAAGGAGCTTTGCCACCCAAGGGATTTAGGGTTTAGGATGTAGGATTTAGGATTTAGGGTTTAGGATGTAGTTAGGG